TCTGAAATATATTTTTGTATTAAAAATCTTCTGTTCATTGAGTGACTTTTTTATCGATTTATTGTTTTTGCTTGAAGCAACTTCTTTTTTGATTGCATTATAAATACACTAATGTCCTACCCATAATATGGCCGAAACAAAAAAACAACATTACTTCAAGTGAAAAGCTGTCTCAAACAAAAAACCCTCACAATCAAAGAAAATGGGGTTTCAATTGGGTTTCAATTATATTTTTGTATTCACAAACCTGTTTCTTTGAGTGAAAAGGGTCTTTTTGATTGAAATGAAATGTTTTTATTCAATTTTTTTTTTGACTGAAGCAGAAAAAAGGATATATATTAATATGAAGGCTTTGAAAATATATAGGTTCTGCTGCCTTCTAGTGGAGGCACAGACACTCACAGGCACGCCAGGAGTCCCTGGTTCTCCATCTTCTCCTCGCTCCCCCTGCAAACAAACACATGATCGTCTGTCTCTTGTGCCATTTTATGTTGTGTGAGAAAAACAAAAAGCTCCTTATTACTCCCTGCAGCCATTAAGATAAAACTCCATGAGATGGGGAACAGGGATTAGGCCAAAAAATCCTTTATATGACATTTTATCTAATGGGTCTTTTCCACTCACACATACCTTACCTCTTTATTTAAACCTCAGCTCTAGAACTAAACTAACTTTACAAAGGTGGACATGCAAAAGCAAGAGAACTTGACATTCTGTGTGAATTCACCTCAACAGCTATTTCTATGCATGAGTTAACCTGACAGTAGTTGTTTTTGTTTTCTTTTTGTAAGAGTGATCTGGAGTACCCAGTGAAAGTCAAACCGTGAACAGGGAGAATCTAAAGACTGACAGCAGAAAGATCCCAGGCCAGGATTCATTCGCACTGTTTTATCTGTGAGGCTGTAGAGCCTGGAGCGAACCTTCTTTGGCTCTGGTTTACACAATCCAGCTATATGAGGTTTTGGTTGAGTTTAGAAAATGTTTTTGTAACTTTGCAACAGTGCAAATAATACTAAACTACATTACATTAGTTTACAGTAGAATTTCTGAAATTAAACCTGTAAAGTCACTGAAATAGAAGCAACCTTTGGATAAACCATTTGAACAAGCTGATATTTAAATTATATTATTAGAAATCCAATAGGAAAATCTATATTTTAACTGCGTATTTAAATTAAAGAGGAACTGTAAATGTTATTTATTAATTCATTATTAAATACTGCTATTTAGAAATGTATTTTCAAATTTAATTTCTAAATGGATTTTATAATTGGAATTAAATTATATTATTTTACAGTTTCTTAAGCTTTTGCATATTTAAAATGCCCTATTTGCAGCATTTATTAGTTGGGTTATTAAATAATTGGATAAACACAGTCGTGAAGTTCAGCTGCTTCCTTTGATTCTCAAACTGCAAAGATGAAGTCATATTTCAATCAAAGTCCTTAAAAAATGATTAAGGCTACTTAATAGCCTATTAAGTCTATTAAATGATTCTGGCTATTTCCTGTTTTTTGTTTTTTTTAGTAATTATTTCAAGAGTCTGTTGCCTGTTTTTAAAATTTAAAACAGTTTGGGTGTAAATGCAGGTTAAATTTCAGATGTGATCAGGGTTTTTTTTGTGCTCTAAATTTTAGGATGGTTTACCTTTTCAATTAAGCAGAGACATTTAAATCTTTAGTCAAGACTCGTTTCTATTATTTAGTGTTTGAGTCCTTTTTAAAATGATAGATTTGGTGTCTATTTAGTTTACTTTTAACATAAATATATTTTCTTGTTCTGGTTTTCTTGGTTTATATAATTGAATTGTCAACATTTTCGTAAATAATCTGTTATGTTCTGCTCAACCAGACTGGCATTGACATTAATAATTATATGACCCTTTGTGTATTCTAATGGATCAAAATGGTTAAAAACTCTTTCCACCATAAGGTAACACTTAGAAGATTTCTGTATGGAAACTATAGAGGAACTGATATGATCATCTTAACATGGTGGAAGGATTCTGGTTTTGAAGAAAATAACAGTTTTTTGTAAAAAAAAAAAAAAAAAAAAAAAAAAAAAAAAGAAGAAGAAGAAGAAATGCCACTAAAATGTGTTAATTCAGATAAAAGAATAAGTTCAGGTAACAAAAATTAATAAAACAAGTTGAAAAAAAGAACCATAAAAGGATTCATTTATGTTTCTCTACCTGGTTTCCTTTAGAGCCAGTCTCTCCTCTCTCTCCCTTAAAAGACAAACAAAGTTAGACTCCAGGAAACTTTAATGAA